GTGCACAAGTGTCCAACTTGAAGCGTTGGCTGCGATTTTGAAGCTGAAATCGCGTTCGGTGTGAACGCAGCATTACTGAGGAGTTGGCAACAGCGGCCGCTTGAAATCTCATTCCAAGCTCAGATCAAAACTTGAGAGCCCTGATTCTCAGTGACCGGAAAAAAACCAACCAAACAAACAAACAAACCAGAGTCCAAAACACCTGCTGCATGGGATGAACCTGTAACAAAATGAGGACCCTCAGGTTTAAACAGAACCAAGGACCTTTCACTGAAACCTCTGAAGCAACGATAATTTTAGAGCAGAATTAACCGTACGCTGAAAACTACACGAGCGGGAGGAGCACCAGCGTCGTCAGGAACAGAAGAGAGCGTTTCGTCGTCCCCGTGGACGGGACGGTACGCTTCCTCTTGGGGCCGTTGCAGAGTGGCGTGTTGCAGCAGGTGATGCACACCGAGTTCAGCTTGCCGGTGCAGAACTGCTGGTAACCGGAGGAGGAGATGAGGCAGGCGCCGGAGGTTGCGCAGGACTTCCGATAATGTATCCCTGAAAGAAAGACGAAGAACCAAATCTATGTAATGTTGAGTAAGTTCAAATGGAAACAGTCTGGACAGTTACACAGCCTGCAGAACCTCTCCTCCAAAATATATATTTCTCTGCTGTAATTTGATTGCTAAGATCGAACGCGTAACTTTTAAGAGGCCTTTGTTTTGTTCCTCTGCAGCATTTTATTGCTCTTTTTGAGTTATGGAGATATCGATTTTCCTTCGGCTCTTATTAACTGATATTTGTCAGCGTGGCACTTTATACAGTCTATATGAAAAAAAATGTATGTTTTTATTGCACTTTAGAGCCACCCTTTCTATTGCCAAGTCCCGTTTCTCCATATTGGTGTTATTCGTCATGTGTTTCTCAGGCAGGTGTTTTATACCTTTTCCGTTTCATCCCCACAAAAAAAATATTAAATTAAATTAAGATAAATTCAAAACTCAGCCACAGAGGTTTCTATTATCACAGAAAGAAACATTTGTGCAGCTGAATATTAGTCTTTTTAGAGATCCTCGGTCGGATATGATGAGTACACACGTTTCTACAAAAACACATTTTCTGCCTGTCACATCAAAGCATAAAATTACCATCTGTGGAGCGCCTGTGCTGCTTTAGTGTCTTTCTCAAGGACACCAAACAAAGCAGCAGCTCCCGAATCTGTGAAACTTCAAATTACGAAGGAAAGTCTAAAATTGAGCCACATGCTGTCTGACATCCTTCGTCAGACATCATGGTCACCTTGTTACTCAAAAATAAAACAGCTGCAGGATGTCTAAACAGGTAGATTTAAACAGTGCTGGAAGTTTGGCTTTTAAAATCTGGTATAATGTTTAAAAGAATGTGTCACCAACACCGTTCCACAGTAGCTTCAAGTGCAGCGACCAAGATAATACATTTTTAATGACCGTCACGGAAAGCTATCTCTCCCATTCTTTGTTAGCTGAGAGAAATAAAATCTCTCCTCTATAGGACACGGTCAACAAATCATGTTTCTGAAAACTTCATAGATTTGTGTTGAACTCACACAGACACCAAAAGTAAGAATTTGGTGTAAATCTAACAGGAAACAGGGTGAAGAGGATCTTAAAGAAAAAGCATCTCTGGATATTTAGTGAGTGCTGTGACAGGTAATACCTTCAAACCCCTTAATCCGATGCTCCTGATTATTAATCTGACTAACCCCCTGATATGGGGTGCCGTTTGTAAAGTTACACTGTCAAAAATTACCACCAATTTTTTGTTTTATTTAGCCTTTTATAAGAAAAAAAGAACAGATTTATTTTTCAAAGTCAGTTTTTCACCAAGTGATTCATGCATTTATAAATGTCATAGTTTATAAACTAAATATTTAACTTACAAATTAAATATTTAGTTACCAAGCTAAATATTTAACTTGTGACTTAAATATTTAGTTTTGAGCTAAATATTTAACTTGAAACTTAAATATTTTACTAGCTACCTAAATATTTAGGTTGCAACTTAAATATTTAGCTAGAAAGTTAAATATTTAGCTAGCAAGTAAAATATTTAGCTAGCAACTTAAATATTTAGGTTGCAATTTAAATATTTAGCTAGCAAATTAAAGATTTAGCTAGATACCTAAATATTTAGGTTGCAACTTGAATATTTAGCTAGAAATTTAAATATTTAGCTAGCTACCTAAATTATTTAGGTTGCAACTTAAATATTTAGCTAGCAAGTAAAATATTTAGCTAGCCACCTAAATATTTAGGTAGAAACTTAAATATTTAGGTTACAACTTAAATATTTAGCTAGCAAGTTAAATATTTAGCCAGCAAGTTAAGTATTTAGGTAGCTAGGTAAGTATTTAAGTTAGCTATTTAGCAAGTTAAATGCTTCTTCATGGAAGAAGAACCTCAGCTTAGCCTGTTAGCTTTAGCATTAGCCCCGATGCTATCACCATATATATGTATTAGCTCAGCACTACACATTCTCCTCTCGTCACTGAGGTCTTCCATCCACATGACAGAGAGAACTCTGGTTTCATTTAAAAGAGTCGATCATCAGATATTGTCCAAGATTAACCTTCAGGGTGGATATAGCTCACTCACACCGAGGACCTATCCACGTCATCATTTACCCAGAATGCTTTGTGTGGAAATAAAATGGCCCCGTCCGTGTAAAAATATATTTTTAAACTTTTGCTTTAAAAATGATAAAAACTGAACATCCTACAGTATTTTTACAGTCTTTACTTTACAGTTAAAATATATGTTTATTAAATAAATTCTAATGTGACAACTAATCGGGGGTCCCTTTAAACACTGACCCTAAATCTAAAACCTAATCTGATGTGTCAGTTACGGACGAGATGGGGGTTCACACTAAGTGACACAGACCCCTCACCGAGTGTTCATATATGACGAGCAGGGAGTGAGAATGTGTTGCATAAACAACTCAAACCTACAACATCCTCTTAATGAGCACAAACTGATCATGTTGAATGAAGAAAGGAGAATCAGCAACTTGAACAAGAAATTTCCCAAAGTGCTTTAACATACTTTTAAAATCTTGATTAAATGTTTATCAATGTTTTTTAAAGGTAGCCTAATGGGTTATTTCTTATTGACTTGGTAAATAAATATGAGGAATTTAGTCAGTCTTGAATTTTACAGTTTTTTTATTCTTTATTTTGTATTGAATGGATCAGAAGATTTAGCAGCAGTTTGGGTGTTTTTTCTTCCTCCTTTAGATGCAGACAGCTGAGGTTCGAATAGATTTAGCTTTTGTGCGACCACTTCTGATGGAACAGAAGAGTGATGGCGCTCCGCCGGACCGCAATAATTGTTTTATCTCCGTCAGTGTTTCGACATCGTACCTGCGAGCAGAAGGACGGGGGCCGAGGCTTTTGTGACTTTAATCGCAACAGTTTTTCAGCCGCTTTTTATTGTCTGCCTCATGAGTGTCAGCAGAGGGGAGATAAATTTACTCGCCCAGCCGTGAACGTGCTGTAAAAAAAAAAAAAAGAAATAAAAAGAAACCAGCATCGGCGGAGTGCTTCCTTTAAAACCCACCCCCTCCTTCCCTGTTGGTGGATTTTATAGGTGATAAAAGGACATTTACAGTACAAACAGGCAGCAGACAGTGACCCGTGTGCTCGGTGATTCCCCTGAGGCGGTGCAGAAATATGTCCTGATGCTACGTCTTCACACAGAGATAAAGTTCAGAGCTTCTGAGTGCTTTTTACACACTTCTTTTGATGCCTCTAGCAGCGCCGCTTATTGCCTTAGAAACCTCACCGTGACATCCATTATGTACAGAGTCAGAGTTCACGTTTTAGAGGCAAAAACAGGCGTTAGGCTCGTTTCAGTGAGCTGGAAAAGTTGGATTTAACAGTTGCCGCACACTTTGAGAAATGAAAGCTTAACTTCACTTAGAAAAGCCAACTGGTGTTGTTTAAATGTCACACCTGAGTTTTAAACTGACTGCGTTGGGCTGAACACTCACAGTGCTGTACGTGTTTCAGATGACTTTCAGCTACTACCACACCAAGTTTTAGCTCCATGTTAAACTGACTGAGTTAGAGCCTTTTTGCGTTGGTTGGCCATCTTGGGTTAAATTGTGTCTAAAAGTTAATCGGTTGTAGGGGTGTAAGACAATACTGATACTGAAATATCACAGTATTTCATTTCCTGATACATCGATCCTCTAAAGCAGTGGTTCCCAAACTTTTTATCTTCTGACCCACAACATATCCATGGCAAAAACTTGTGACCCCAAATATTACTGGTCTGAGTACATGAACTTTGTTAATAACCCTAAAAACACAGGCTTTTTGACAACCTAAACAGCTTGTACACAAATATAAATACTTATTTATACTTATTTTGTGTTCCCTTTCAGTCAATTCACTCGGTACAACATATGTATGGGAACCACGCCCCTGCGTGTC